CACCCCCCACCCCTCCCACTCCTAATTAAGAGATTAGGATCTATTCCTCTTTTCCTTTGGCCACTGCGGCGCGGAAAGCTGGAAAACAAATTTATGGAGAAAGGAGGGTCCGGTGAAAAGAAAGAGCGGCGGGATACCCCTGCCACGACTTATCTGGACGAGACTGATTTTACTGCTTTTACGGTGGTGGTGATCGTCGTTACGGGGTACACCGTAAGTCAAGGACTCCTCGTTCTCGTGAACTGGTGGCAAGCGGATTGGGCTGACAATATGCGTCATCCTAATGCATCCTATTCGGCCTCGTGGTTCGGTTTGTGGTACTTTGGGCTCATCGCTTTCGGTGCAGTTGCAACAATCTGTCGTTGCGTTATTGTGATGTCGCTACTGCTACGAAGCTCCGAGAACCTGCACGACGAGCTCTTTCGACGCGTACTTGCTGCCCCAGTGACCACATTCTTCGACGTGACACCTGTGGGGCGTATTCTCAACCGCTTCTCCAACGATCTGGACCAAATGGACTCGTTACTACCTCAGCAATGGCAGAATTTTGTGCAGAATATCTCATTAAGTGTCGGCGGCTTCATCGTCTGTGCGCTGGCGTCGTACTGGATTGGACTCTCGTATATTCCAGTGATAGCTGCACTGGCTGTGACGGGTTTCTACTTCAAGAAAACCTCTCGAGAAGTCAAGCGCCTCGAGGGAATTTCAAGATCCCCCGTGTATAATTTATTGGACGAGACGTTAAACGGTGTACAGACCATCCGCGCTTTCAAGATGCAGTCGAGATTCGAGCAGATGAACGCGGATGCTGTGGATGAGAACGCGTCGTTCTTCTTTGTCTACTGGGCAGCAGGTCGGTGGTTGGCGGTGCGTCTGGATACGCTCTCTGTCGTGGTCATTTTTGTGGTATCGCTCTACTTGGTGGCGACAAAAGGACAGCTCGGCACCTTACTCTCGGGTATTTCGCTTGTATACGCGCTCATGTTGACGTCGATGGTGCAGTCTTCGGTGCGTGATGTGGACCGCACAGACAACGCCATGACGAGTGTCGAGCGTATTCTGCACTTCCGTGAGATCCCGCAAGAGGAAGACTCTCTGGACGCGTCTCCCGTCAACAATACCTTGTGGCCGTCACAAGGTGCTATCAGATTCGACAATCTGCAGCTCAAGTATCGCCCGGAACTACCTCTTGTACTTTGCGGTGTGACTATGAGCGTCGGTGGCGGCGAAAAGTTGGGGATATGCGGACGTACTGGTGCCGGTAAGAGCTCCCTGATGATTGCGCTTTTCCGTATCTGTGGGTTTGAAAGTGGAACCATTCGTATCGATAGTGTGGATGTCCAGAAGGTAAAACTAAATGACCTTAGACGAAGCCTCGCGATCATTCCGCAAGACCCGGTACTATTCAGTGGATCGCTTCGAGACAACCTCGACCCGTTTGGTGAATACTTGGATGCTGACATTTGGACAGTCTTGAAGCAGGTTCATCTCGCAAACGCTGTTTCCGGTTGGGGCTCTGGTTTGCAGCTCATTCTCTCGAGGACCTTGAGCGTGTCGTTATCGACATACTTGCCCTGGGCAAAGCTTTACCAGAAGGAGGTGGAGCTTCCGGGTCTGCTCAGTATTCGCGCCAATAGAAGACTTGTACACTTCGCGTTCGCGAGCCAGCTTCTTCTGCAACGTGCTGATAAAAACGTCCCGAGCTTGGACTTCGCAGTGAAGACGATTCCAATCCTCTGCGTGTCGCTCCATAGTGGCTTGAACACTTGCGAGCATGGCGTCATTCTTGGCGTTCGACTCGCGGAGAATCTTGATGTTGTGATGTAAAGCTTCAATCTCAGCGTTGGCAGCCTTGAGGAATGTCTCCGCGTTCTCACGGGCCATGATGTGGGGTGCCACCGAGCGTACGGCGGCTGCAGCCTCGGACTGAGCAAACCGCAACTGACGCTCCAAGTCGGCAACTCGTTCTGGTAAGGCCGACAGCGCGTCAGGAACAGGTTGTATCGCAGCGAGGACCTCATCGAAACCAATAGCTGTCTCGAGACGACGCTGAGTGTGTATATCGCCGTGGAGAGGAGGCACAACGCTGATCTGCACTTGGTGACGAGCCATTGCAGTCAAGTACGGGATTATCGAGGTCATCATGTGATCGACCGATGCCTCCGTACTTTCAGCCAGCATGGCGCGCAGCGAATCTTCGGTGAGTGGTGGTGGACCACCAGCTGGGGCAGGAGGAGCAGCAGGAGCCATCTCCGCGGATTCAGCGACGACGGGGAGTGCTGCAGGAGCTACCGCAGGAAGTGAAGAGTCTGGGGCAGCGGGCGCCGGAGGACCGGTTGATGACGCTGCTGTCGGAGGAAGTGCAGCAGACTGAGGGGAGTTCGAACCCTCGGTCTTGCCCTCCTGAGAAACAGGTCGAGTAAGGCGAGGTGATGAGCAAGGGTACCGATGATTCAAGAGAAGGGATGGGCTTACGTACCTCCAGCTGCTCACGCCCGCGACGTCTACGAGGATTGAGACGCTGAAACGCGTCGGACACGACTCGATTCAGACGCTTGGACATACGGTGGCGAGATGGTGAATTGAAGAATGAAGAAATGTCACAACGGGCACCAGTACTGTGGCTTCCATTGCGACAGGGGCAGTTGTGGTGTAGTGATTTCTCCGTGGTTGCGGATTATCACCCGTCGACAAAGACGTGACACCGCCCCAAGATGTTCAAGCGACGAACCCTCGGTCAGGTGATGTACGGAGACGCCAAGGTGCCAGGGACTCGACGGCGTCACCTCCGAACGTTCAACGAGTATTGGATACGGGCATATGTCACTGAATCCAGGCTGTCCTTATTATTAATAATGGACTGGCCGGATTCGCATTCAGCGGACCATCTACGGTACGAACCCTCAGTGGCGGTTGGGATGAGTTCGCAGAAGACTCAGCGATCCTTGGAAGGCACTTTCACCGTCTGGGACAGGGCGCGGACCGTTAAAGATGCTCATGCGACAGTGCAGACGACGCTTGGCATGCAAGAAGATCCATAACGGATCATTGTTCACTTGATATTTGTATACTTGATTAGGACTTCTTATTAGGAATAGACCCGAAAGGGTAAGCTTAAATACAGAACAGAATTTCCACTCAAGCACACAGAGCGACGTCCGGCTTCAAGGTAAGCGTCAGGTCAAGCTTGTTTGAGTGTGTTATGCCTGTCGGTGAACTCGAAGCTCTGTAGCGA